TGGCGTGTAATCTCTTTGCCAGAGATACTGATCTTACACCGACAACATGCTTTATACTATTCAGACACTCCCCCATTACGTCTACCTGCATATCTGCGCATGTGCTACCGTACATCACCTTACTTAATCTCCTGATTGGTCTTTCTGTCCGCTCTGCCTCTTCGTTCAGCTGATATGCTAATGTTTCGACTTTGTCCTTAATTTTTGCACACCAGTGTACTGTAAGCGTAAACAGTACTGTAAATACGGAAGCTGCTGTATCACGAAGACTTTTAATTTTTGTTTTGTATTGTTATAAGTTGAATTCAGAGGTTAGAAAATATAGCTTGTTTACTTATGGCCGAGCATGGAAGGGTATCTGCGTAAGGGCAGGGATGCCTTCATGGAGGTCTCTGTAAAGGAAACTGGCTCTTATGCACGTACGGGAAAAACAAAAACAAAACAAAAAAAAAAAAAAAAAAAAAAAAACCGCCAGTGCAAACAGCCCGTTCTCCAAAATCCGAACCTTTTCCAATAAGACCGCCCAGACTCTACACAACTAGATTCCTCACTTGGAATACATAAAAAGTGTCCAAAGGACTGTATCTGTACGACCCATAGTTTTTGAGATAAATGCGAATGAAATGTATGACTTCAAATCCGTCACATCGCATATGAGTTTAGCATGATGGATCTCCTGCGCATTTTCAACGCGTCTGTATATGATTGGCGGGATATGGAATACCCAGACCGTTGGATCGGACGTGGGGGTCCGGTTTTATGGCCACCACGATAGCCAGATATGACAACTTTGTATGCTTTCCTAATCTGATCAATTCCCTTCGTGTGATAGAGTTGGTCTATTGAGACGTAGGTACTGCAGAAAATGACTTAGTTGCTCATCTTCATGTTGCGTGTACTTTGGTGGACATCACGCTGCTGCAGCGCGTGCAGTCAACCATTTCACGGCATGCGTGCTTTGATATGCATGAACATTCTGAACATCTACCTATGTAAACATAAGCAAATACCAATGTTCCTATTTCCAATGAAATTCCTCCTCCCGTTGCATCGGATAGAACATCGTACTTTTCTTTCGCATTTATCTCGAAATCTATCTTTCGTGCAGATAGAGTTCATTGGACATTTCCGTGTTCCAAGCGAGGAATCTCTGGCTGCGCAGAGTTTGGGCAGTCTTGATGAGACAACCTTTTTAATAATATGGGAAGCATATCTTTGGATTCTTCGCATACTGGTGCATCATTGGTAACTACAATACCAAATTAGATAAATTTGTTCGGTATATAAATATCAAAGATTGCAAAGATTACAACTAACGTAATGCAGCAAATATGGCTAATCAATATAAAATGTCTGCAAGCTAGAATTAATCAGTATAATGAAAAATAGTACACTGTGTGCTTTGCGTTGCACCATGCGCTTGAATTAGTTTTGAATAGTGCAGCTCGAGGTTATCTGCAAGCTACATTATCAAATATCTTCTTTTTCTTCAACCAACGCCCATCTTTAATCATTTTACGCCGAGACATCCAGTATACCAGTGTCCATCCATTCTGTCTTCTCGGGTTTCTATCTCCAAAGCGTTGCAGGTGCGGAGATGATTAGCGTTCACAGAGGTTACATAGGTCAGTGCCGATCTTATGAAGATGGTTCTGGAGGCAGTCTTGACCTGTGGTCGATATGAAGATGGCTACAATGACATTTTGGGGAATATTTGTTGGGGGTTGGATTATGATCGTTCCCCATCTTTTGCCAACAGCAACTGCCCTTCACACGTCATCCACGGTCTTCATGGCTGTGGGTGTAATTTTTCTGCATATAGTTCTGTAGTTAAAGGTTGGGGCAGAAAGCATTATTCATTTGCGAGTCTGTCCGCCTGTTCATTTCCGACGATGTCGCAGTAGCTCCGGACTCGTTGTACATGAATATTTGTTGTCTTCTGTAGATTTAGAAGTATTTTTGGCATTACTTGAACAATGTCCTCTAACCGCACAGTGGCATGTGCAGCTTCCGGAACAGGCAAGTTCTTATAAGCGTTATCTGATCAAATAGCCAGCATTTTGCAGCAAAATATGCAAGATAATGCAGAAACTCGAGGAATTGGGAACAGATTTGTGCAGTGTGGAATAGTTCCCATTCAATCTCTCTTCTCTCTCTCTTTTTTTAATTGTATATATTACGAAACATGTATATAATATGGCCAATGAAAATTATTATGAACTATGTATGTATTGTGTAACAGGCTCAATATATTATGAACTATGTAAGCAAGTATGAACTATGCAAGCATGTATATGTATGAAGTATGTAAGCACGTATTATCAAAGCTCTATATATTATGAACTACCTGTATATAAGCATGTACTATGAACTATGTCTGTCATGAACTATGTAAGCATATATTATGAACTGTGTAACTATGTAAGCATATATTATGAACTACAGGGGTTGGACAAAAATATGGAAACACCTTTAAAAAACATGTTTCTTTGCTTAATATGGTGTAGGAAACCCGTTGGCATCCAAAACAGCTTGCAGTCTTCTCGGAATGGATAAATACAGTTCCTGTATGTTTGCCAAGGAATATTCTACCATCTTCCTGCAAAAACGGTGGCAAGTTCAGATAACGATGTTGGCGGTGGATAACGAGAAACGCACTTTCCGTTCCAATGTAGACCACAAAGGTTCGATAATATTCAGGTCCTGGACTATGGTGGCCAGGGGAGATGCGACAACTCATCCCTCGTGCTCAGAAAACCAGTCCTGGACAATGTGAGCTGTGTGAACAGGGATTTGTCGTCTTGGAAGACACCATCACCATCGGGGAACAAAGTTTGTACCATGGAATGAACTTGATCGGCCAGAATGTTCACATAAGTCTTGGCAGTCATGTGCCCTGACACAGTTATCATGGGGCTAGCAGAGAACCACGATATGGCTGCCCAAACCATAACAGAACCCCCGCCATGTTTCACTCTTGGCAACAAGCAGTCTGTATTATAGGCTTGAGATGGCGTTCTCCAGACGTAAACTCGGCCAGAAGTGGGAAACAATGTGAAAGAAGACTCGTCAGACCATATTACTCGCTTCCACTGCTCTATAGTTTAGGCTGTATGACTTAAAACACACCTTTTCCTGTTACGGGCATTAGCATCATTGATGAGTGGCTCTCAATTGCAGCACGGCCAGCATTCCCTGTTTATGAAGCTCCCTTCTAATTGTTTTGGTACTCACAGGGTTCGGTAACACAACATTCATTTCAGCAGTAACTTTTGCAGCTGTGGTCTTCTTATTTTTCGTCACAATTGCCCTTAATGATCGTCTGTCACGATCACTCAGGACACACTTTCGTCCGCGCTGTGATTTAGCAGATGATGTTTTTACGCTTTTCAAATATGCGGAATAAATCTTCGATACAGTACTTTCTTGAAACACTAAACACCTCGGCTACCTTGCTTACGGAAGCACCTACCATACGTGCTCCAACAATTTGCCCACGTTCGAAGTCTGTTAACTCTGACATAATACAACGACAACCTCACATAACAGTACTCCGACAACAACTGAATTGTTTAGCACATTTACGAAGTTGTATAGGTGGCGTCAGTAGTCAAAAACGCCAGCGCCACCTATATATTTCATTAAAATCAATCTTTCTTTTCAAACATGCATTTCACAAGGTGTTTCCATATTTTTGTCCATCCACTGTATGTAACTATGTAAGCATATACTAAGAACTATGTAACTATGTAAGCATATATTATGAACTATGTAAGCATGTATACAGGATCAATGTATGCCCTTGTAGGGCCCATGAGGTATTGCCCGGATAGTTGCGGAACCTGGACTAGACCCGAATAGTCTAAGTGAGCCGCACGGGTGTTCAGATTCTGCTCTCAACTGTCAACTGGTACTAGATTACAAGTTTTCCTGCAAATCCATACAAGATGCTAGTCGGGTTTTTAACGACTTGTGTACATTTTTTGCAAAATTTATTTTTAAGCATATATGATTAAAGAATGTATACAAAAATTAAAAATAAGGTGGCAACAATATCCGATATCAAATTTTATGATAACGTGCAAGAAAGACTTCGAAAAAAGGAAAGAAACATTTCATGAAATCCAAACAAATGAAGAACAATTCAGTTCGTGAAGATTGTTTTAAAATTCGTTAATACGTTCGATGTTATTTATGAAAACATTTTTAACGATATTCAATTATAGTAACGTCAAAAACAACGACGACAAAATGAGTCGCAAAAACGTATTTTAAGTTTATCGACGCTGAGGCGATAAAATCTATTTTAAGGTCGACAAACGGAATGCGCGAAGCTCGAATATTATGCACTGTCTGAAATGTTTGGCGTTGCTTGGGCTTTTCGCAGAGTGAAGAAGCTTCGTTAAAAGGGATGATGATAGTTTTTCCAAAGTCTTAGGTAGACAATGATTTTCCTCTTATTTTCGTTCAAGGTTAATTGCAAAATTTTACCAAACTCAATTGTGGAACAGTGTAGAACTAACATAGTGCCATGTGACAATTGGCATTTTCTCTGTTACCGGTTGTGTCTTTTTTTATTATGAGCTTTCGAAAGCTTTTCATCCGCTTTGGCCAGTTACACCTTTAGAGTAGACATTAGTGAAAACGAGAATTCCTTATATTTTTCCCGGTAAACGAGAACAAGTGTTGTCATAATTTTTTTTAAATGTTCGCTACGTTAATTCTTTAAAATTAAAACATGGCTATAGCATCTCGTGGCCTCATCCTTTTGTTTGAAGAATGATGCGGACAAAATTTTAGGATTCTGATTAATACCTATGGTGATACAATGAAGCAAAGAAAGAAAATATGCGTGTTAAATGTGTAACGCACGGGTTGCACCCACTTTCTGTATAATTTGTATTATTATAATAATTAGTCGGTGAATACTTTGAATTCGTTTTTTTCTAAATTAATATGTACTTCTTTAGTAGAGATTCATGCATATTATTTCATCGCAGATACCTCTCGGAACAGAAATATCGTCAGGTCACATGCGTCATCTTACTTGCTTCGATGGATATTCAGTTCAAGGGTCTGGTTCATCAGTTCTTGCGGTAACATGCCAGAAAGGCGAATGGTACCCTAACCCAGTCTGCCTCCCTCGTAAGCATTACTTTTTCATTACATTTTTGGTTTATGCTTTTCTGTAACGTTTGAAAATAAAGTCCTTAAAACAGCTTAGCACAGTAGCCGGACGTCCAGTATCCGGACCTCAGGACCACCAGCAATTTTTTTTTCGTATGAAAAGTTTAGAAGTGGATAATATAATGCGAAAAAAGGTGTGCTGTAAAAGCGATTTTTCTCCCAACTAATTTAGGTTCCTGTATGTTGTATGTCACATTTAAACACTTGTTGGCTAAGGTTTTCCCCCATGTGTAACGTGTAGACGAGCCAGTTTCCCTTAGAAAGTCCTCTACGAAGGCATCTCTACTTTTAGGAAAATAGCCCTCGAGACTTTGTCATAATTACATAAAAACATAAAAAGAAAACGTGCTGGCTAAGAAATCACAGCATAGCCAATGGCAGTACATTTATTTGGCATTAGACACGACAACACGTTCGGCTCTTGAGTGATTGTTTAGGTTAGTATTTTTTTATTTGACTTAAAGAATAATTGAAGTCGTAAGACATATGTATTTAGAACAAGATGCTGCTTATAGTGGTTTCTTTTGTTGAAATACACTGACTACCAATAAGTATTTGGAAACCTGTGATAGAAAAGAAAAACTAACTTTATTCAAAATCAATAGTTGGTAGAGCCTCCACGAGAGGTAATTACAGCGTGGACCCTCCGAGGCATACTTTCCACAAGTCTTTGTATGACAGCTAGTGCTATTTTCTTCCACTCGTCTTGGAGAAGACATAGAAGTTCCTTCACCGATTTTGCACGGGTAGTGCACCCCTGAATTCGATGATTCAACTCGTCCCAGAGGTTCTCGATAGGGTTCAGGCCTGGACTCTGGACAGGCCAGTCCATTAGATGAACTCCATTGGCACCATAGCAAGCCTTGGTTAACGTCGAAACATGACAACTGGCATTGTCGTCCTGAAAGTAACAGGGGTCCAACCCGTAAAACTGCCACAACGTAGGAAGCACATTGTCATCCAAAATAGTGCAGTAGGCATCGGAGTTGAGCTCACCATGAATGGGAACCAAGGGTCCCAGCCCATACCAGGAGAAACATCCCCAGACCATAATTCCACCTCCGCCGAACTTGACTGTTGGCACAATGCATTCTGGCAGGAGACGTTCTCCAGGTAGACGCCAGACCCAGACCCTGCCATCGGAACGGTAAAGGGTGAACCTTGATTCGTCACTCCAAACAGCCCGTTTCCACTGATCTACGGTCCAATTTCGTTGTGCTTTGCACCACATTAACCGAGCAGCGCGGTTGGACTTTGTGATCAAAGGCTTATGGGTAGCAGCACGACCATGAAAACCAAGCAGATGTGCTTCCTTACGGATGGTATTCTTTGAAACAATACTCCCGGATGCCTGTTGAAACTCCTCGCGGATGAGGGCCATTGGTTGGGTGCGGTTCTTCCGAATTTCTCTGGACAGCAGTTGTCGGTCCCTATCTCCCAGTTTCGTTGGTCTGCCGACTCGGGGCACATTCCGACAATCATCGCTCACCTTCCACTTCTTAATCGCATAGGCCACTGTCGATTTTGAGTACTTCAGATCGCTAGATATGTCCCTTAAGGATCGGCCACTTTTGTGATACCCGATAATTATACCTTTCTCGAAATCAGAGAGCTCCGAACTGCGAGGCATCTTGCATGCGACTAAAGCCGATGCTGTTTCCTACACGATATATACCGGCGGAGTCCGTGACGTACCTTAGGACCGCAGATATCGTCATTTGCATAGGTGTTCAGATACTTATTGGTAGTCAGTGTAGGAGCAGCAAAAGGAGAAAGACCTAGATTCCGAAAAACCTAAGTCCAGTTAACATAGCCAATTGCGCTCTTTTTTCAACTTTCTGATGGGAAGCAGCGTATTATTCTGTTCCGTTTACTAGTAACTGAGTATTGCAGTTTTAGTCAATTGTTGCGAAAGTACGGTTTCGTAATCGATTGAATGCACACAGAACCGATGACAGATAGATGCAATTTATTTTACCAAAAGAAGCACTTCACAACTCTAGCACTTTCCACAAAAATACTCGTACAACTCTTCTCAGTATCAACGAGTACATTCAGTAGCTTCACTCCAAACTACTAAGACCGTTAAACACAACGCCTCTTACGGATATTTCAGTGCTCCGAAGTCGCTCTGAACTAACAGTATTGAAAAACGGATTCTCGTCCCAGTGTTATACAGTTTTCCGCCGGCCCCCGAGAAATTTCTAGGACCTTCCACTTCTCGAAATTATTCGAAGGCATGTGAACGCTGGAAGCGGTTACAGTTTCTTATAGGACCAATTACAGTTATTGAATTACTGTACTCATTACAGTTATACAGGTCCGTTCCAAAATATCGCTAAACTTGGTTACTACGAGCCATATTCGGAAACTAAGTACCGTTTTGGAAAAAAAAAAAAAAAAAAAATAGTAAAACAATTTTTTCGAATCCAATTTTATTTTTACATGAAAATACATGTCTTAAACTATTTTTCAACATAGTTTCCGCCAATGATCAAACACTTGTCATAGCGGGTGACCCGTTTTTGTATACCATCGTCAAAGAAACTTCCCGCCAGCTTCGATAACCACGACTCTACAGCATTTTTCGTGTCATCGTCAGATCCAAAGCGCTTGCCACCAAGCTCGCGCTTCATGTGCAGGAACAAGTGATAGTCGGACGGCGCCAAGTCCGGGCTGTACGGCGGGGGATCGAACTGCTCCCAATGAAACTGTCGAATTAACGATTGAGTGACACCAGCAGTATGGGGCCGAGCATTGTCATGGAGCAACACAATTCCTTTACTGAGCATTCCTCTTCGTTTGTTTTGAATGGCACGCCTTAGTTTTGTTAAAGTCTCACAATATCGTGCCGCATTAATGGTTTCACCTCTGGGAAGAAATTCAAAAAGCAAAACGCCTTTCCTATCCCAGAAGACAGTGCACATGATTTTTTGTGATGACATTGTCACTTTGAACTTTTGTTTTTTCGGAGAATGAGTGTGTCTCCACTCCATCCATTGTTGTTTCGATTCTGTTGTGAAATGACACACCCAAGTATCATCACCTGTCACAATTTTGTTTAAAATGTTTTTCTACCTCATCACTGTACCGAGTGAGAAATGTCAGGGCACTTCCAAGTCGCTTTGTTTTGTGAACATCAGTGAGCATTTTTGGAACCCATCGGGAACACAGTTTGCGATAATTCAAGCGGTCAGACACAATTTCGAACAAAACAGTACGTGAAATTTGTGGAACTGCCTCTGAAAGAGTTATCATAGTGAAGCGTCTGTTCTCATGAATTGCTTCATCAACTTTTCTTACCAAATCATCGGTGACAACAGAAGGCCGACCACTCCGAGCCTCGGCGTGGACATTTGTTCGACCTGCATTAAACATTTTTACCCACTTTCTCACCATTCCATCACTTATCGCGTATTCACCGTAAACTTCTGTCACTTGACGATAAATTTCGGCCCGTTTAACATTCCTCGCGTTCAAAAATTTAATCACGGCACGAATCTCACAGTCAGCGGGAGAACTAATTGTCTTAAACATTTTGAATGTGCACAGTAAACTGAAAACACAACAGAGCAACCAAAATGGCGACAAATGAAAGTCAGTGAACAAGAAAGACTAGTGCGCATGCGCGGGACGCCTACCACAGCGCTGCGACGGCGCTAGAATGAAACGGTACTTAGTTTCCGAATACGCTACGTATTTGGCGATTTTTCCACAAATTTTGATTCGCTAAAACTGCAAAAAATTTTAAATAATCGCTAAAAACATCGATAGTCGGCCATATTCCGCCATTTTAGCGAGCTAGCCTATTTGCTCAATGTTAAATAGATTTTTCCTTTATTCTTATTTTTCCAACAGAGCATCTTCTCTGGCGAGCATTTCATGTTATGTTCTACAAAAAATGCTGCAGTTTCTCAAAAATTATTTACATATGTACAAAATTCGTAACACTATTAATAACATCTGCGTTTTAATCTTTTCCCAAAATTGTCCATCCGTCAATTAACCAATGGATATTGGAATTCTGCGCATACTGAAATGCAGATATAAAATAGCTTTCTAAAAACCGATGCTTAAGTAACGCTATCCAAAAACTCTAGAAATATTTTAATATAAAATCTGATATGTGGAGTATTGCAAGATAACGAGAGGAAGTGTCTGCTTATTTTTTGAAAAGTTCTTCGTATAAATTTTATAGCCAGCTATCAAATTCCACGATGATAACGAGAGCCGCGAATCGAAGGTTTTCGAATATCGTAACAAAAAGCAAAATTTTCCTATTAATGGTTTTGTTTATTTAAGTATGGCAAAGCACCTGAGGGCTATATGCCTGAGGGAAAAGATGCCTCAGCGGAGGCCCTTGTAAAGTAAACTGGCTCGTATACACGTTACAGATGGTGAAAACCATGAAAACACCCATGAAGCCTGGCCTGTTCGACGGGTTTCGAGCCTCGGCTGCGTTCAGCGACTTTACCGCTTGTGGGCCTCTTTCCTGTTAATGGAATATCAGAAGGAATGCTAAAGGAAGATGACGTAACTGAAATCTTACGCCGCGATGACAATGCCTCGATGATCAATCAATAAACGGGACAGCGAATATCGGTAATACAGCTTTAAATCTAGAAAACTTCGCCATTTCGGCTTCGGGTCACGTTTTAATTCCATGTGCAGGAAAAAAAAAATTTCAATTTACTTCGAGTCACTTTTTAATTTCATGTGCAGATTCAGAGAAAAAAAATTCATATTAAAAACTTTAAAAATACTAATAAGGAATTTTTCTTTATAATTTTTACGTAAAAGTATTTTCTCACTGCATTTAATTTGGAGATTTAAAAATCCGGAATTGTCGAAGTCTCGGATCTCGTACTTTATACTGTAAAAATACTTAAATATGTACAACATAGAACACAACTTCAAAGCCTAATCGGCCTGGATCCAGCTCCTGAGTTCTTGTACGC